TATATATTTATATATATTTATATATTTATATATATATATACACCTACATATACACCTACATATATGTATAATTTAATATATAAACACCACGGATTTCTTTTGTATGCATTTACTTAATTAATTAATATTATATTCATCAGCACCTTATAAACATACATACATACATACATACATACACATACACACACACACACACAGAGAGACAAACACACATGCATGCATGCATGCATGCATGCATGCATGCATATGAAGAATAAGTGTATAGAGAGAAAGAAACGAAGTTCTTTGGATCGATGAAGAGCTGAAAGTAAGTAATACATAAACCCCTATCTCTCTCTCTTTTTCTCTCTTTCTTTTTCTTTCTCTTTTTCTTTCTTTATCTCTTTATCTCTTTATCTCTCTCTTTGTTTCTTTCTCTTTCTTTCTCTTTCTTTCTCTTTCTCTCTCTTTTTCTTTCTTTCTCTCTCCCTCTCCCTATACACCCTACCACCCACCCCACCCCCCCACCAACCAACCAAACAAAACAAACAAAACAAACAAAACAAACAAACAAACAAAAAGACAAATAAACATTTATTTATTTATTTAATTTTCATATCTTCTATAGAGAAGAGCTCTGGCTCTGGCTAGCGGTGATGACGCCTCTGTCGCCTTTCTTTGTCTTCCTCGCATCATACGCATAAACTCGTCAAAGTCTATCATTCCGTCGTTGTTCAGGTCACCCTATACATAAATAAATAAATATATAAATATATAAATAAATAAATAAATAAATAGAGAAATAAATAGAGAAAGAAAGAAATAAATAAATAAATAAATAAATAGAGAAAGAAATAAATTAATAAATACATAAATAAATAAATAAATAAATAAATAAACAGGTAGATAAATATGTAAATAAATAAATAAATAAATACATTAATATATAAATGAATAAAATAAATAAATATATAAATACATAAATAAATAAATAACAGAAATAAAAGGAATACATAAATAATAAATAGATAAATAGATAAATAAACAACTAAATAAATAATAAATGAAT